TTGATCCCAGAATTCGATGGCTCCCCCACAGGCCCAACTGTCGTCGAATGGTTTGAGAAGGCTGAACGTGTTTGCAGGGTGTCCAAAATAAAGGAACCTGCACTGGTCATCCCACTGAGATTTACGGGGGGAGCCTACGCCATATATCAACAACTCGGGGATGATGCTGACCTAGAAGAGATCAAGGGTGCCCTATATACGGCCTTTGGAATAGGCCCCTTCATCGCTTGGAAACAGTTCGTTGGACGACGGCTCGAGCCGGGTGAGACAGTGGATGTCTACCTGGCCGATTTGCGAAGGCTGGCGGAGCAACGGACCACATACTGGGATACGCCTTCCTGGCAGGACTTCCCAACGATACCAGTCAGCTCCTGCGAGCGTCTTCAAGATTGGACACACTGGGAATTGACGAATTGCTAGCCAGAGCCCGAAACATCTTGAAAGACATGGAACAGGTCGCAGCAGCCGTGAGAACGCCCGAGACACCACGGGAGGGCCCAAAGTGCTACAAGTGCGGTGGACCCAACGATTTCTCTAGAGACTGCTGGAGCCGAGGTGACATAGGAGGCGGGAGCAGCCGACGGACATGAGAACGTCTACGCTGCTATCGCTGCAACAAGTTAGGCCATGTAGCACAGGAATGCTCAGGAAACGAGTCTGGGGACAAGGTGCTGTCGCAACCCTTGCCTCCTCTCAGTCACTAAATGCGGCATTGCCTGTTGTCAACGTGTGCGTTGAGGGTAAACGATGTTCGGCGCTCATTGACACTTGATGTTCCCGATTGATCGTTAGTGCGGATCGATGCGTGACATGGAGTAGTCAACAAATTGAGATTCGGACGATTGATGGAGTGTCCCGGGCCTGTTGTGGTGTTGGGACTGTATCAATTCTCACAGACGGAGGGAATCATGCCAAGGTCGACGTTTTGGTGGCACATCAAAGGCCCCTCAGTTCTCGACCTGCTGCTTGGGATCGATCACGATCCGAGTGTTAGGAGGCATGATGATCACGCCAGCCGGAAATGTGGAACTGGGTAAAGGAAGAAAGGTGTGTGCAGCCCTTTGCATTAGTGAGCCGGCTCTTTCAATTTCGACAAGAGGGTGTGGACTGCCAGGTGGAAATGGGCCCAAAAAGACCCACCAGTTCAGCTTCACAACAAGGTCGCAGAGTACAAAGTTCCCGACAGCATCAGAGGAAAATACAAGAAAGAGCTTCAACAGTGGATTGTGAATGGCTGGTTGATTTCGTACCCCCAGGAAAGACTAGGACCCCCAAAGGGTCTGATTCACTTGATGGCAGTTGTGCAGGAGCAGAAACAGAAGGTGCGTCCGGTACTCGATTACTGCGAATTGAACGACTTTGTGGATGCTTTTACTGCCGATGCAGAAGTGTGCGCACATAAGTTGAGAACGTGGCGGCAGCAGGGGGTCAATGTGTCGCTTCTGGATCTGCGGCACGCATATCTTCAGATTCACATATGACAAAGCGCTTCAAACGGTTATTTTCAAAGGTCAACGCTTCTGTCTTACGCGGCTAGGATTTGGGCTAAATGTGGCGCCAATCATTATGAAATCCGTTATAGGTGCCATCACATTGCAAGACCGCACAATTTTAAGTGCCACATCAGCATATGTTCATGATATTTTCATTAATGAAAGTTTGGTCTCTGTATCGCGTGTACTACAACACTTTTCGGATTATGGTTTGGTGTGCAAGGATCCGGTGCGACTGAGAGATGGAGCAAGAGTTCTTGGCTTGCAAGTCTGGGAAGAGAATGGCACCCTCCAAAGGAAACGAGGAAGTCAGATCCCGGAAATCCCTGATGTGTTGACCCGGCGGCATGTATTTTTGTAGTGTGGGAAACTTGTTGGACATTTCCCCGTGTGTGGATGGCTCAGGGTGGCAGTTGCATTCGTCAAATGCCTGGCAACCACAGCAACCAATGGATGGGATGATAACATCAAAGATCCCTCTCTCTGTCGCATACTAGTGGAGATGTTAAGTAGAGTGCGGGAACTGGATCCCATTGGAGGAGACTGGTGCATGAGTGGTGACGAGATCACAGTCTGGGTGGATGCGAGTTCCGTGGTGACAGGAGTCGCATTGGAAGCGAACGGAAATGTCATCGAAGATGAGTGTTGGCTGCGTCCAACTAATGATGCCAGGCACATTAATTTGGCTGAACTCGATGTGGCGCTTAAAGGAGTGAATCTAGCCCTCCAGGGGGAGGTGACAACATTGCACTTGGTTACTGATTCGGCGTGTGTGCACCGGTGGATTTCCGATACCTTGACCGGGAAGGCACGGGTGAACACAAGGGCGGCTGGCGAGATGCTGGTTAGGCGACAGCTGGGCATTATGCGATTACTGGTGGAAGAATATGGATTGACCATAGATGTGACACTCGTACAGTCCTGTCAGAACCGTGCGGATCGCCTCACCAGAGTACCGCACAGGTGGCTAGAACTGCTCAAGAGAGAAGAACCAGCATTCGAGAGCTGTGCAGTGGTAGGTAGACGACTGGACGAGGACCAGGTGGCCAATACCCATTGTCAAAGCGGACATCCGGGCGTGAAACAAACTCTGTACTTTGCCAGGTTAGTCGACCCGTAGGTGTCCAGAGGAAGCGTTAAATCTGTTGTGAAGGCCTGCACAACCTGTCAGTCGATTGATCCGGTACCTGTTCACTGGGAAAGAGGAGAACTGAGCATGAAGAGCAACTGGAGCAGATTAGCGATGGACATAACTTACTACAATGGTGAGAATTTTTTAACGCTTATTGATTGTGGTCCCTATAGGCTTGCAGTATGGTGGCCGCTGCACAGACAAGATGTGAGCACCGTCATTCGACTGTTGGAAAATGTTTTCTTGGAGCGAATCCTACCCATGGAAATACTGACGGACAACGATACTGCATTCACCAGTAAAGACTTTAAAGAATTTGCGGACAATTGGGATGTGCATCTGCAGTTTCGATGTGCCTACTCGCTAAGTGGAAACAGCATCGTAGAGCGAAACCACAGAACTGCCAAGACCATCGCAACCAGGAAGGGCTGTACAGTATCGGAGGCAGTTTACTGGTATAATGTTGCCCCGAAAGATAACGTTTCACTGTCCACGGTGCCGGCTGATGCACTGCACAAATATCATGTCTGACTCAAAGGCATTGAAGCCAACCCGCTGCCTGAACTAGAAGTGACTGGAGGGAAGTTGAAAAAAGGAGATGTTGCTTGGGTCAAAAACCCAGGCGGCAAGTGTACGACAAAATACGGCACTGGACGTGTTACGGAAGTGATCAGCCCGCAATCTGTGAGAGTTGATGGGGTGCCTCATCACATTAAAGACTTGCGACCGGTGATGCAATCGCTACCGTTACTGAGCGATGAAAGCGATTCCGAGTCTGAGAGTAGTGAGCGTTCGATCTGCTTTGAGTTAGACCTGCAGGGCAGTGATTCTGATAACAGCAGCCTCCCGGCGGACACAGTGTTTACCGACACTCAAACCAAAGACGAGAACACGCATGAGGATGAAGCTTGTGTTGTCCTCCTTCAGAGGGGGACTCGACGGCGACGATCGCCACCTCCTTGCCCTGTTTGTGATCATGAGATCTGGGGGAGTGTGGGGAAAATTGTGAAAATGGACTACCTCGGAAACGCCTGCGAAACTGTGCGATGTGCAAACTCCAGTTTGCTCAACGGTAATTGAACCAAAATGGTGGCGCCCATGTTTTATGCCAGCTGGTCTCTGACAGTTAATGCGAAATCTCATTGTCTCGTCATTCGCATGCAAATCGTGGTCGGTCCTTGGCTGTATAAAGCAGGCCCGACTTCCGTCGAATGGTTTGAGAAGGCCAAACGTGTTTGCAGGGTGTCCAAAATAAAGGAACCTGCACTGGTCATCCCACTGAGACTCAGCTGAATCGTTGTGTTACCACCACAGTTTCAAAAAATTCATATCACTGTGATATTTTTGCCTCATATCCAGTATTAAGAATATAGTAACTAGGGTTTGCAAATTGGAGAAGAGTTATCAATTATGTTCTGTGAATCAGCAGTTATCTCCCGTTAACCTTGTTTTTTTTTTGTTTTTTTTTTTAAATATTCTTTTTCGGAAAAAATTTGGTAATCACTGTACTAAGTGATCTCAAATAAAGGCTTGCTAGCCTTGTAGATTGTACCTGTAACTGGAGGCGAGTATGTTAGTCTTAAATTACTACATACCTACAATTGTTGATAAAAATGTTATCAAGTGACTTGTTAATGATATCCAATAATAAGATAATTCTATTTAGGATTAGGAATAAATTATCATTTCTTATTGATCAGAAAGTAGAGAAAATGTAGCTGTAGAAATCAATTAGAAAATGAATTCAGCTTTTACAAAAATAATCAATGAAGCATAAAAATACTTTATGTAAAAATGAATGGGATACAGAGAATCCATAATGTTCAAAACTTTTATTTGATAATATCAGAATTATATTTCTAAATTTCATATCTATTATTTGACTTTATTTCATGGAAAAAAAATGCCATGTTAAAATTTGAAAACAACTTCAAAAGATCTAGTGTTGGTTCTTTGGTTGCCTTAAAGAGAATCAAACAATGATTCTTAAAAAAATATTTAACAATATAATTCTTTGCATTGTTTTGATATGGAAATGATGCATTTTGCAAAGATTTTTATGAAACCTTTGACAACATCATAAAACGGCAAATAATCTTCCATTGAAATGTGGAATTTTAAATCATCACAATCTGTTCCTTTCAAAAAATTTTCAAGGTTTTGAAACAATCTTAAAACTTCAACTTATTTTCTCAATTGTATGTTAGTAATAATTTAGGACTAACCTTTAGGCCTAAAAAAGTAATCCCAAATTGTTCAAATATATGTCAAGATCTGTCTATTTCTGAGATTGTAACTACATTATTCGGACTGTTGTCTCAATCTTTACTGCCATATTCACAACATTTCAGCTGTTGCACACTCTGGCCAAAATATTAAGTTAACTTTCTGAGAAGGGGAAAAAAACGACCTTCTCGACTAACAATGTCTTCTGGAGCAAACAAATGGGAGAAACTGGAAACTAAGGAAGTGAGAGGAGGTGCATTTCTTAGGTGGAGAAAGGAAATGTGATGCAGTGTGGGTTTAGGGGGAATAAGGTATTTATTTTGTGAGCTTGAGAGAGGTAACTTTTTGCCTTTGAGAATTAGTAAAAATAAGGGCATTATTTTTTATTTTTTGTCTTTTGATTTTTTTTCTTAATTTCCCACTATACATGGTACAGCATTTCCTAAGGGAAACCATATCAATAGATGTATTCTCTAGTTGAGAATTTGTGTTAATTTATGTTAGATTCAAAATGATAAATCTTGACAGAGATTTGTAGGGCATGAAGATGAATATAATTGAAAAATAATTTTATTGTAAAGCCACAATCTTTTGTCCTGACAAGCTTCAATATATGATAAAATAGAATCAGAATGAAAAGTCAGACTGAATTCGATTTAATCCCAAGTTGCTGGCAAGTTGTTAGTAAGCGAGCATACCAAAAAACAACTGGTATGGCCTTTCATCAATTTGTCCCCAAAGAGAATTGGTTTTTATTCTATACTAATTTTTTATCAGTCGTCATCTTCTTCTTCTTCTTCTGCAACTTCAAACCATTTTATCAAACGTGAAACCTACAAAGATTAAAAAAAAGGACTTAAATTTGCAAATGTATTCATGTTAATTCCTTATGGTAGAGATTTCTAAATTTTTACTCACCTAAAAGTTCAGATAAACTCATGACTAGTCAAAGCATTTTGTTAACTAATTCATCATATTGTCTTTGTTACTTATTAATGTGTTTTTTTAAAACAATTTCTCATCAAGAGTTAATAACAGAAGGCATGTTTATTGGCAAACCAGACACATTTGTGCAATTAGTTAATGTTTATAAAATTACTTTGAATGGCACGAAGAGTCAGTTTGTCAAAAAAGGAAAAAGAAATCAATGAAATAAATCTTACCTTTTGTCTCAATTTGCCATCTGTAAGTTCATTAAACCATCCAGTAATAATGTCTTCCTCAAGGATATCTTTGTCATAAAGCAATTGCAAAAGAACCAACAAAATGCTTGCAATTTTTGTATCTTTCTTGCTGTTTGACTATAAAAATAAAAGAACATTTCAACAAATCACTGATTTAACAAATATATTCAACATTGTTAAGTTTATTTTTGAATAGCATTATTCTTAAGAATAAAGAGATTATTTCTCAAACATTATTCCAGAAATGAAAACTCATCTATTTGACTTGGGAGACACTGTATACTCATCCACGTTAAAATTTATAAAATCATTTTGACAGAATAATTTAATTGTCATCTTAGAAAAAAAAAAAAAAAAAAAAAAACTTGTGAAAATTTCTAACTCCATTTAAAAGTGTAGGTTTGAACTCTTCACAAAACCAGTATCTGCCCATTTTGTAAGTTTAAATATTTACAACAAACACTCAAGGTGTAAACTTCCCCCACACATTTTCCTTCAAAATGCTTTTAAAAAAATAATACACAAAAAGAGAAAAAAAAATAGAAAAAAAGGCGGTCCAAAAGTTTCAAGGTTATTTAAAGATGACTGCTACAGAATAATTAAAACATTCTGAAAAGCAAATTTTCTCTTAGAGTGATCAAGGGACATAATTCAATTTTTTTTATGTTTATTTAGAAGATGCAAACTAACAAATTGATGGCATCCTGAAATAAAGAAAAAGTGGAATTAAGCAATTTTGGTTATCTCTTCTAATTTTTTGTCCTCAGCAATGGACCACTGGTTGGGATAATAGACTAAAGTGATTGTTTGCTCACAAAATTGTTAAAGATGCCATTTAATTCACATGATGGAGGTTTGTAGAATGTACAGAAGCAATTTATCAAAAATAAACATTTCTTCCATCCTTCATATTGAAATTAAACAACTGGAAGAATACTATAGGACTAAATGAGAAACAAAATTTCTAAAAGAATTCACAAGTTAAGGTTGCTAAATCAGTAAATAAACAAGGTAAATCTGAAAATTAATTATGCCTTATAATATATCCAACCAATAAGGAATCCTCAACCCCCACAAAAAAAAAAAAAAAATTACAGCTATTTTTACCATTTGACAAACCAGTTAAAATTAAGTTTTACTTACTTCAAGAACATCCAAGCAATCTCTTTGAGATTCTGTTGTCTGAATATAATTCTTCAATACTGGAAGCTTTGATTTGATATTCTGAAAAGTGAAGCATTTATAAACCTCAATATATACAAAGAACATCTTTTAAAATTTTGAAGAGAACAAACTAATACTTCTAAAACTATACACAATAGACTATTTAAATAAATAAAAATTTTAAATTGATAAGATGAAGATGTTAACAGCTATTGGCAAATTGAAAAAAAAAACAAAAAAAACTCTTCTCACTTGTTGAAGTATCTAAAAAAAAATAAAAAAAATAATAGCTGCATTCGCTCATAAATGCATCAATAAAAATATTAGGCTTCATGCCACCAGAAGAGATTTATTTTGCTTCATTTTAAATAAATTTTACTTTTTTTTTTAAATCCAGATTTAATTTATCAGCAAAAGTTAACTAATGATATTTAAATTACTTTATTGGAGGTAAAATATTTGGTAAGAATGGCAATTGATGAGTATAAATCTGATTTATGATATTACCTAAATTATTATTACATTTTTAATGAATTGTTTTGGTCAATAACATTTAGGGAAAATAATTTTTATCTATTGACTATGAAAATAGATCCCATGTGACAAATTTATAGAAAGCTAAATATTGCTTGATCTATTTTCTCTGAAATTTATCAATTCTTAAGATTCTTCAGAGTTAAGCTATCTGGCACAAATGAAATATACTCGTCTCATCATTTTCAAATTGCTAGATTAAAATATTCTTTTAATAGGAATTTGGTTACAGAACTGATTTTTACATATTGATCAGAAATAGCATTCAAATAAAGACATATTTTACTTACATCAAGTACACTTTTGGCAATCTCTTTTGCACTGTCACTTTGAATCTTTTTCAAAGGCATTTCAATTGTGGCCTGCATGACAGTCTGATTGACTTCCTTTATGGAAATATTGTAAGAATGTCTGAAAATAAAACAAAAACATTTAAATTATAGTTAACAGTTAAAAAAGATCTTTCTTTCAAGTGACAAGAGTAATCAGCCTGGTTAGAAAATAAATGACAAATAGTTTTTGTATAAGGACTCACTAAGATTTCAGCAAGCACAAGAGTCACAGTAAATTAATAGAGATTAAGTATGAAACTATTTTAAATAATGCTACACCCAAAGCAAGATGAAAAGTAAACCTTTAAAAAACATTCACAAAAACTAGTAAAAAGAAAACTGAATATGACTGAAAGCAAGAGACAAACATCAAACATTCAGAACATAAAATGAATCTATTTAACAACAGATTAAGTTTAATAAAGTATTAATTTAAAAACTCATATAATAAAAACATTTTTTAGTATAACTTTCTTTACAAGATCTTGACAGTCAAAAGATAGAATTGTCAAGTTTCTTAAAATCAACAACCTTGAAACCAAGTTGTCTAACAAAAAGCCAGAACTTGAAAATATAACAAAACGTAAGGCAGAATGATTCTTGGAGATAATCCAGAGTGTCCCAACTTCAACAGAGACAGCTTGAGCTGCTGCTTGGTATATTTCTCAGATTTGCCTTACTAGATATTGGTACCTCTGTACATTTGCTTGCTCTGACTTATGCCAAGGTACCATAATGTCTATCAGGATCCTTTTATAGCTACTTTTGTACAATTTTTTTTTTTTACAATATTCAGCCAATACAAGGCCCAAGAGTCACTCAAAGTAGGGGGTTACTGTGTGGATTTGTATTAGCATCAGAAAGAACAAGTGTTAGAAGTATAGAGCTGAAGCAAACTTTAGGATGAGCCAAAAACCCAACACTAAACAGGAAACAAGGGATAAACCTCTACTACTCTTCAAAAGACTAAAGAGTGGCTCTTCAAGCAGTTAGTCAAGACAGTCATCTCCCATATGAGCATCACTTATGCATTCTTGGCAATTGTGAGTGGTAAATACTTGTAAAACTTACTTCCTGTATACTTGGCAATGTATTTGAAGGATTGCTTATTCACAGTGTCATCTGTACTCCTTTCGTGTTGGCTGAGTTCAGTCACAGATAACACCTTACACACTTTCAATAGCTTTCCTACACAAGTTTAAATCAGCTGTTCTATCATTAATGTACTTGATGGAATTTGTTTTTAAGGCACTGCACAGATCATCCCTTCATTTTTCTTCTTCAAGAACCGATTCCTAAGCCATCTTCATGATTCTAGATACATCTATTGGGCTTTTGTGCAAATGTTCTGTACAATGTTTTTTTTTTTCTTTCACACATGAACTTATTATGAAAAAGTTTAAGAAAACTTAATTTACTCACTTGAGTGAATTGATTTCTAAAATTAAGTTTTCTGGACTTGTATTCATTTCTTCAGCACGTTGCATGGTATCAATCAATTCTGGGTAATATGCTGAAAAGAAGAAAAGTCAAACGTAAATGAACTCACAAATTATTTCTTTAAATGCTGAATCAAAATTTAAGCATGACAAAAATTAAAAAAAAAAACAAACACAGAAATAAGAAATAAAGTTTATGAAGATGCTTTTATGAGAAAGATATCATATGAATTGACACTAATTGTAGTTCTGAAAATGGAATAAGTGAACAAGAGGAGGGCATGGTGGAGTAATGGATAGCTGTTCGGATTGAGTAGTCAGAAATCCAAATTCAAATTCTAGTCGAATCCATTACATTCACTTACATGCTAATACCCTTGGGAAAGGTATGAATCCTATTCTTCTCCCCCAGCTATGGATAAATAGCAGGACAGACTAGGTTCTACAGCCTTGGATGGCAACTGGTCTACCGCAAAAAGAAATGACAACTTTTTGTGGGAAAAAATCTTCCTCGTCAGTCATGTACTGAAAGATACATGATCGCCTAAGCGTGTATCATGCATGGCACATAACTGACTGAACATGTTCTGAATTCGAGATATCAGCTAATGCCACTTTGTGCTAACAAAAAATAGCCTACTTGATAGTTAAAACAGGTACATACTAGCCTACTTGATAGTTAAACAGGTACACTAATTTTGACAATTGATGCTGTAAGGGTTATTACAGCATCAATTGTCAAAATTAGTGTCCAGATAAAAGTCAAAATTTCAAATGCTGACTTTCAAAGCAGGCAAATATTATTATATGGAAGACTAGACTAAGTTCTACTCCATATTTATCCAGTGAGTGGCCTTGTGTCAAACTATTCTAATCTTAGTAATCTAGAACAATAAGGATTTTTGACAAAGTTTAACTAACTAGCGTGCAAAAAAAAAAAAATAATAAAAATAAATGGTGTATCAAAAGAACAATTTTTCTATTGCTATCATTTTTACTGTATACTCCTTCGGTGATTTTTATTGTTTTAAAAAACTATTTTTAGAATTTTAATAAAAGCCCAAACATATGAAACTGGATTTATACTTTTTTTTTTTTTTCAAGAAATAACAACAAAAATATTAATTACTACTTATTCATTAGATTGTTTATTTACAAAAATAATTTCCTATTTACAAGATTATAAAAATATGTAAAACAAAAGCAATGTAATATTTATTATTTACCATATTGTAAAGAAATATCTATGAAAACAAAGTTTTATTCATAAATTTATAAAAATTATGTGAACTAGAGAAGAAGAAAATTTAAATAAACATAATGAGGGAATATACAGTAATGGCAGTTTCAAAAGAAAAACTATCTTTTTAATTAATGCAGGTTTGTTTTTGTTTATGGGTATGTTTGCTTTTTGCTTTTTAATTAAAAATTCAATGCTTACCATTTGCCTCAAATTCTTCAACATTCGAATAACCAACATCACTATTAGAATCATCACTATCAGAATCATCATCATCATCTTCAGGTTCTGGGCCTAGAATCTTTATACCCCATTTATCTTTCGTAAATGTTTCATCTTCTTCATCATAGCCATCATCATTATCAATGTTGTCATAAGTTATAGCATTAGTTTCTGATCCATATGTTTCTGTGTCTAGCAAAGAAAAAAATATAAAGGAATTTAATATACATTATGACAAGAGGAGAAAACAAAAACAATAAGAACATTTCTCTTGAACAATTTTGGATGAATCAAATTAAAGAAAAATAATTTTTTTTTAACAATGATGTTCATCCTGTAGAAGGTCCAAGAGCCACTCAAAGTAGAGGGTTATGTAGTAAGAGGTACAGCTTATGGGGATATTTGGGGAAGATAACAGTTAACTCAAGACTTGAAAAGGTTAATATTGTAGTGATTGGGGGAAGCATCCTCTTAGAGGAGTTTGTTCTACAAAGCAAAGGTTCATGAGAAGAAACTATTCAAGTGGAACTTACATGTAGACAGTGGAATACAAAAGGAATGAGGGTGGTATGCTGCAATGTGCATAGTATGGTGGAACTAAGGAATGTAGTTCATCTGAACACTTTCATAGAAATAGAGCAGTGAGAGGCTTGTGATATTTTGCCCGTGGGAAAGGGGTTGTAAGGTAGAAAATAATCCATCATCCACAAGGCTGCAGAGAGGTTCCAGGAAACTGAAGACTGAACAGCACCCGTCCTTATATGGCAGCAGTACTCCATTTTAAGCCTGGTTGGGCTCTTATAAAGGTAGATGATAGCAGGAGGAGTCAGGTACTTACTAGATCAGTACAGGGAACCAACCATTTTTTCAGCATCTTTAAAGATGGATCATATGTATGAGTTCCACTTGAAGTCTAGGCTGAGTTTAAGTTCAAACTGGCATTCAAGGCATTTGGGCCTTCCTGAGAGAATACCTGTTCATCACAATAGGTGAAAAATCAGGGTTCACTAGTTGATGATGGAATGTCACTAGTTTGGTTTTTGAAGCACTGAATGTGACCAACCAGTTTTCCCCACCACTGAGCTGTTAAAGCTAGATCAGAAGAGAGATCAGCTGCCATGCTCTAGTCCTGTAGTGTTTTGAAGGTGCACTCATATACCTTTGTAACATCAGCAAAGATATTCACAAGGCAGATAATTTATGTAAAGCAGAAAGAGGGTTAGATCAAGGAGTGAGCCTTGGGGACACCTGCGTTGATTGCTTGGGTCTCAGAGAACTGAACTATACAATATTACACCAAAACACCACATTCTTACTCACCATTCTTACTACAACCAACATAATACCTCATTGTCTATCTGAAAATCCTAACTAGCTTCCATATGTACAATTTGTCTGAATAAAACAACATTTAAAAATGAAAACCTCAATGAATATTTACAATGTGCATAATACTATATATACAAGAAACTAAACAAGATGATGTTAATAATATACCCCCCATCCCACAAACCTTAATTGCAGCAGAAATATTAGTTAACTGGATGAAATTAATGTGGGGTATTGATAAATTAAAACCAATCATTCGACCAAACTCACACACAAATAAACATTCATTCAGACACAACAATAAATACGAAAAACACTTGAAAACTGAAAAGTGTCCCAAATCCACTAGAGAAATGACATTTCTGGTCACCTAACAGCAGGGGGAGGAGTGGGAAATTAAATTAAAGAAAGTGAGGACAGAAATAAAAGGGGCCTATGAGTATACATCCCTTAGGTAAGTTGATGTTAAAAAACTAAAAGCAAAACAAGCCCAAACTAACCTATTTTGGGTGGGGTTGCTAATATTTAATACAGTGTTCCCAATATCCTACTGCCTAGGCAGCATCAAAATGCCACTCTAAGTCAGCTCCTTTTACTCGACAGACACACAAGACTCCCCCACCTTTTGACAAATTCTGATGAAGGGAGTCATCACCTTTCCATCCTAATCTTGACTTTAAGCTGATGCTTAAAGAACAAGATCAGTTAGGAAGAGGTAAATCTCTCATTTCAATAGAATTCCTTCTGTCGTGTCATCCATATCATGACTCTCATAACACTTAGTCAACAAGAACCTTAGTCAACAACAGTACCACATTGCTACAAACAGAACTGGCCTCATGGAAAAAGAACTTTCTGCACAGCATGCAAACCACGTCTTCAATAAACTTGCACAACAGGACTACGACTTTGCAGTGGAAGAAGGCGTGACCTGAGGTCTCCACCAACTCACCACAGCAAAGACAGTTTGGAGAATTTTCCAAGACCTCCGAATAAAGTGTATTGCTCACCCAGAGGGCCTTTGCAACACCAGCCAGGTGAGTGATTGTTAGTGAGGCATTTCAACCCAGGCACCCAAGAGCATTTGGAGCAAGCAAGCCTCCTACTTCATAAGACTGAGCTCATCAGGCCAGCTTGAACAGATACTCTCACTAACACGTGATATAATGGTTTACAGAGCAATGCCTGGACATCGGAGAGACTATCTGTCACCTTCATCCAGTTGTTGTAAATCAGCACCAGCAAAGAGATGAAGATAAGAACTGTACTTGAGGCAGTCACCTAAGGAAGACCATCTAATCCCAGAGTTGTGTTCCAGCTAACCAGCTTCAGTGCTTCTCAGATTTCCGACTTTGAGTTTACATGAACCCAAGCCTATGACCATGTAAACTATAGAATGAAAACTGGAACAACCTAAGAGCCCTATGTCAACTCTCTTAACTAGGACTTGGTTGAGGTAGCTAGAATGCACCACTGTAGCCAAGTTGCCTCTATTATTCCAAGTTCCCAATACTTCCCAGGAGTGCTTGTTTTGATACTTATCGACAAGATCAAGCTTGTTGATAAAATCCTGAAACAACTTCATATCCAGGTTGTTAGCACTCAACCTTGATCTAAATCAGGGTCAAGGATGGCATTCTGTTGCAAAAACTAGCTGGAAGCACACACAGAGAAAAAGAAAGGTAGTACCAGTCCAATAGGTTCACTAGGCAAAACAAATCCACACTTCTTGCCTTGATCTCCAATATGCCACTCACTGTCCCGAACGACAAGCTGAAGCCCTGTTAAATAAGCATACCCTGTTTTTATACACCTGACCCAGCCAACACTCATCCAATGAGTGCCCAGAGACAGCTAATAAAATTGGCTACAAGTGACACCACCACCATGAAGTGCTGTCCTATTCACTGTCCATCCGAAGCTTGTCTATTCACTGTCTCCACACTCCCTTGCAAAACATACATGCAACTCTGGCTCTTTTTGGGTCGCCGAGGTAAGTCACCACTACACATACCTGATGACATGTCAAAAACAGCTCGATCTGCTGAAATAAATCAGGCTGTTCAGCATGGTTGTTGGGCACATAAACTCCAATGAGACGAAGAGACTTATCCTTTATGATAACATTCAGAATGTAAAACTTGCCCACTGGAACTGCAAAGACAATGCACACACTGCCTTCAAAGATTTGCTCACTTGCCAGGAAACATCTCTCAAATGTCCATCAAAACATGCTGAATAGAGAATAAACCTCTTAGATAGAATGTATTCATGGCCAAGAAAACTCGTCTCCTGTACACAATATATATTCACTCTGAGACACTGAAGATCATGAGTAAGCCTCACCCTGCGAGACTTACCACAGGCTCTGGGCATTCATATTAGCAAACCAGAGATACATGACAAGTATGATTAGGGCTGGGAATTTGTACTGAATATGGCTGGGGTAAGGACACAAATGGCCTACCCCATTAAGCCTTGGAACACCTCACTCTTGATGGTACCATCAGGAGACAGGCCACCAATGTCCCAAGGGAACATTATTTTTAGAGCTCTATACAGAGAGGGGTGAACAAAAATGGTTTAATCATTTTACATTTACGTCATCAAAAAATGCTAAAAGGGGAAACATTCTAAAATCAGGGTTGACTTCACCCAGATTTGTTCTGCTCCCACACCAGATCTCACCACCATCAATATTCTTTTCACATTTGGAAAATTTGGGGGATTTTCCACATCCATGCTATTCACCTCTTTCATTTTAATTAAGATCATTGAACTTTCTGCACTGTGTCACTGCTTTTCCTTACTGTTCCTTCAAAACCCACCACACATCTTCCCCAGTATTGTATATGGGTTTAGACTTTTTCCTTGCATCCAAATCATTTGAATCTGTAGAGGGAATTTTTTGTCTTTTTTTTTACTGATCCTACTTTTTGGGGGTGCTGAGTTTGGGTAGGGCATGGGTTTAGGAGTGTTGGCAGGTGTAGACTGAAAATGAGAGCCTTCTTGAGGGTGGTTGTTTTGGAAGGAGTGGGGGGTTAGCAATTTTACCATTGGAAGTGGTGCCATGGAATGCTGTTAAAATAATTGGGGAAGATGGTGCTAAGAATGAAGGGCCAATTTTTCGTACTGTTAACTCATAAAATCTTTTTGCTTTTAAAGCCTCCTTCAGTTTTTCTAACTTCTTGATTTTTTCAAAACTGGATTCATGTATCAAGTGCTTGCTTCTAATTTATTCTGTATAGCTGGCCAGGAAGTCGCCCTTGAAAATGGTAGAGAGAGTGGGGATGTGTGTGCCTTAATCTTTGGGAGCTCATAGGGACAGAGGTCCCACTGCTTGGAGCTTCCCTTTGGTTTTACCAACAACCTGCCATTCCCCCTTTCTCTTCTCTGCAACCACACAAGTGGCAAGCAAAGGCTTTTTGGGGAATGGAGGCTGCACAATGGACACAACCGAGGGTTTTACCACACAGGTCCCAGTTGCTGGCATACCCATTACAGGTGAGACGGAAATAACAGACTCAGCCAAAGTGGGATTTTGGTTGCTAGCAGCCAGAACTCCAGAGGCATTCTCTCTGGGCAGGAAGAGGAGAGGTGACTAATCTCTCCACACTTCCAGCAAATTGGTTTCAAGCCAGTCACAATGACCAGCATTTGCTGGCCCTCCACTTCCAGACAGTTGGAGATGAAGGTTTTCTGATCTAACATTATTTCAAACCGCCATCCCCTGTTCAGATCGCTGGTGGTAGCACTGAGTATCTGACCAAATTGGACAATAAGCAGCCAAGTGCTCCAGAATGACCCGAGAGGGAACCTTAAATATGTACACATGGTTCCTTCGCCTGCCCTCATATTCAGTTCTTAGTATGAGGTTTTTTGTTATTAGATCTAGATTCAATGCATCCTCAGTTGGCAGCCATGGGTAATAGTACATCCCACATGGAATATCCCTTGCTTCTTTTGACTCTTTGGACTTTAACAACCAGGGACATCAAAGATTTAATAATGTTGATGACGCACTTCAGTGGGGACTTCCAGCAGGAGGGTGATTCCCCAGCCATTATATTGTATTGTCATTTTTGTTGTTGCTGTCACTGATTTTGCTTTCTGATACTAGTTCTTTTTTGTAGATTTTGACCATTATTGGCCTGCATATTTTCATCTCGATTATTAGGTCATCATTTTTTTAGCTATATCTTCAGCAATCACTTTTTTAGTGTTTTTTTCAAGCGTGTCTTTTCTTTTATGATTCAAACAGGTTGTTTTTAAATCAACTGATATTTGCTGACCATTTTTATTTTATTTACTTCTTTTTTTCAAGGAAAAATGAATTTTATTTCAAATGGAAAAATTTAAAAAAATTTTAAATAATAATAATCTTAAACAGATACAAAAAGTGAAAAATAAATTTAACAAGACAAATGAAAAATAAAACAAAAGTACCAAACAAGCTGGTTTTAAAAAAAAAAAAGCTGGTTTGACGTGAAAATAAGGTTACTTAAAAATATACACAAATTAAAACAAAGTCCTTCTACAAAAAGGAAAACAAATTTAACTATATAAAAAAATGAGAAAATACATTTACTCAAGCAACACAATTGAATAAAACAATATAAAAAGGTTTCCTTTTTTTAATTAAAACAAATTATGAAAAATACTACAAAGAAAAAAAAAAAAAAAAAAAGAAAAAGTAACGTGTAAAAAAAAAAAAAAAATAAGTAAAAAGTCTTGCCAATTAAACAAAATGGCCAATGTAACATAAAAAAAACAAAAAACAAACAGATTAAACAATAAACAAACAGAAAAGTTATGCTTCAAAATAAAATTAAAATTGGCTTGTGGCCATGTGGGGATAAAAATGTTAGGACACAAAAAAAAAAACAAGGAATGAAGTAACACAGAAAATTGAATCCACAAAAATTAAGCAGAAAGAAAGTTATATGAGAAAAATAAAATAAAAAATTGAGTTTATGGGTAAAGTTTGAAAAATAAAATAAAAACTTAAAGTTAAATACAATTTACACAAAAAAATAAAAATAAATGAATAGTCCAGTGAAACTATATGTTACACTCGCAGTAAAAATAATAAACAACTTTGGGGGAGGGTGAAAAAAAAATAAAATAAAAACTGAAAAAGAAAATTAAAAAAAAAAGCTTTCACAAAAAAAGTCAGCAAAAAAAAAAAAAAAATAAAAATAAAGATAAACTTAATGTAAAATTTGACAGTTCAACAAACACAAAAATAGAAATGAAAGTTCCAGTAGAGCAATAAAAACATGTCCAGCACGTGGCAACACTTGAATAGGTCTGAACAAATAAATGTACATTTTTCTGAAAGAGTTTATATTGAACTCCATGGCAGAATCCATTACAAAGAACAAGTGAAATAGGCCAATCTAACAACAACAAAGTATTAGTTTCTATTAGCTGGTGGTTGTAAGTTCAATTCCTGTGCTGGGCAATACGTAAGTATATAGAACAATAACACGAAGGACTTTATAATAGAGAAGACTCTTCCAGTGATTCTATAGCTAGAGAGCTTATTCAATAATGCTCTATGCCACACCTTGTCAAAGTCCCTTGAAATATATAATGTGATTGTCCTTGAGATATATTCGTTGTCTAGTGCCTCACCGATTCTGTGAGTGATGAGATTTAGGATATCAATAGTGGACCAAGCAAGTCAAGGACAGATGAATCAAAGAGTGCCAAAAAATTAGAATAATTCTTCTCATCTCTAGGGCTGTATTGTTTAGAAACTTTATGAGAACAAATAGAGAACTTTATTGAATATTATTTGGAATTAGAGAATTGATCTTCCAATTAGGGATGTCCTTAAAATTCCTATTTTAGTTGCATCATACTGATGGAGGAAGAAAATAAAAGTTGGCATAAAACCAAAGTGATATTTTTGGTTAGGTAAGCACTGCTATAAAATCTGATTAAGTAAACATAAGATTAAGTCTATTCTATATTAATAAAATTTGACTGACAGGTTAAATTAAAGTCTTTGTTTAGTACATTCAAAATATTTGTTTCGTCACTGAGATATATCATTTTTTTTTAATACTAAAGGATAAAAAAGAAAAGTATTTACCAGGATTTTTTTTGTTTTCTTCTTCTGAATCTGATGCTCGTATCAACTGGGTTTGCCTTTCAAGAACCACTGTCTTGCTAATGTCACCTACAATAACCTGTAAAAGAAAAATCACAAATGACCATCTTGTTGACACAAGTCAAGAAAGTGGGAAAAAGAAGAAAATTAATGAGTGATGTATGTACTGCACTTCTTTATGGTTTCTACATTCTACTTAATAACCAGAGAAATTCCTGATTATATTCAGCATAAATACCAACTGTTGATTTCAATCTGGATAGAAATAATGATTAATTGTTGATGATTACAACAATTGTGGCACAAGGTTGAAGGAGAAATGGGGTAAGGCTAGTCAACATTAACTATCCTAGACAGAGTTAATCAGATTCATGACCCATTCATTCATTACAATTTACTCATTCACCACAAGAACTCATCCATCATCATTCAATCCTACATGTACCACAATACCACATATTCACAGGAGGAAGCTACAAAAAAACTCATGATGTAAAAATCTCAAAATGTCTCCGTTTTCATTTTTTCCTTTTTCTTACAAAAATACATAAAACATTTCATGAACATGAAATGATGGGGTAGGGGTTGAACCCAGAAACAAAAATAAATATAACTAAAACATATGTCAGTATGACCTATCCACCCCTCAAAAATAAAAAGAGTGGCCACTGTATTCTGCCTATAGACAGAATCAAGTAGCATACTCACTCGTGGAGTGGGAAGGAAATTAAATGACAGAATGGGAAAAATCAAAGACTGACCCAGTTGAGATACAAAAAACAGGGGACAAAACAAACTGGGGAAGTTGGGAATCTCAACATGGATAATAACAAAAGAGAATGCTGGGAGCAGGCCAGGAACAACACTTACCTTACTAACTAGGTAAACAAATAGGGTCTAACTTAGCCTGTGGAGGGTTTGGAGGAAACCGCCCTGTTGCGAAGAGGACTTTAAGAAAATCAAGGCTAGCCTCGTTCACTTGAACCAAGCTTGCCACAGTTACCCACCTTTTGCTGAAATCTGTTGATAACAGACACTTTCTATCAGTTCTAATCTTCATCTTGAGCTAATGTTCAAAGAATCCGACCAGATCCTGATGAGAATACCATTCATATCGCATGATTCCCTCCTTTTGTGTTATCCACAATACCATTCTTGCCTCAACTAGCAACATCTAACACCATCTGTTTCACCTGAGAATGAGGGCAACACCTTATTGCACACATGGGAGATCAATGGACACAAGATATTTGAGATAGATACAAGCTGTCAACTCACAAACATAGTCCCAGAATGAGCGCACATGAGGACAATGGTAGAATATTTGATGCTGTTTTCTCTAAGCCAATGTCATACTGATGAGAGTTGGGCAAATCCAACCAGTTCCCTCTGAAGGCTACAACATTAAGAGATAGCACATTCCGAATCAATCGCCAAGTAAGTGAAAACTCAGGGTTGCTGAGGTGATCCACTGTTGGCACCCAAACCAAAGAAAATGCAACTCAGATGCCGAAAAGCTGAGCCAGCCACAGAGAGGATCCTTCGCAACCCCCTCTACTAACACATGATACAATAGTCTATGAAGGTCACTGGACTGGAGAATGACCCTTAAGGCTGCCTGACACTCCCAGAGTATGACAGTGCTCAGCCCTAGATACAGGAGGAGTGATGGTAAGGCTAGGGAAGGCACCCTAACACTCCCCTCCAAAATCAAGTGCTCTGTCAATGCTTGGCATAGGAAAGCCAACCTCGAGGCATGCTGATGGTACATTGTGTGGCATTCCAGCCCACCTATGATACAGGCATTGGGCAACAACCTCACTGCAGACCTGATACTTGCAACTACCCCACAAGAGAGAGGACAGCAAGCCCCTGAGCGCCTTCTTTCAGTTCTTGCTGAGAGGAAGTACAACCAATCGATAAAGGATAAGAGGAAAGACATAAGTGGTACATGCTTCAGACCCACTCTTTACAGAAAAACCTCCATAGAAGCCAAGACTAGAGTGCCACTCTGACCTTTGCCTGTACTTCAAACCAATTCTTCTTCAGATTGAGACTGGGCCCAAACCACACTCCAAGAATGTGTACAGATCCGTCTCTTGAAATAAAGGGCCCCTGAAACACTACCTCCTTCCAGGCACCTAACCACTAGCCAGAAGACTTGTGTTTTAATCTTGGCCCTCATCCCCTTTTTGCACTGTTCAAGCACCTTCAGTACCACCTCAATGTTGCTGTGGCACAAGTCAATTTTGACTGTTGTGTTTAACAACTGATTCTGACAGGGGTCCATCCCTGACCGGATCTCAAGAGGTGTGATCATGCTGTTAAAAAAGGGTAAGAGTGGTGGGAAGGATTTAGATGGCTATAGGCCCATAACTCTGCTAAACACATGATCACACCTCTTGAGATCCGGTCAGCGATGGACCCCTGTCAGAATCAGTTGTTAAACACAACAGTTAAAATTGCTGTGTGACAGCCTCAAGTACAATTTGTAGGGCAGCCCATTATGTCCTAAAGACTTGCCTCTTCAATGTCAAGTGAACTTTGCCCTCTGTAATCTCAACCTCACTTCTGTCGGCTCAAGCCAAGGAAAGTCAGCCAAATAGCTATGAAACTCGTCATCACAGAGAACAGGCTTCTTGGTAAAATGGCTCTCAAAATGCTGCTGAAACGCCTCGCATATTTGTCCCACCAGGGTCTTGACCTTCTGAATGTAACAATTGGAACCTCAACATATGTCTTCCTTGTGCAATTTTGTGTGGGACAATCTAGAAACCTAGATTCACCCTTCTCACTAACATTCTATCCAAGTAGCTGGCTACCTGGGTAAACGGCCATTTAAGGGCCCACGTCCATATCTCCCACCCGGATGATCAACCCGGTATCTATTGATGAACTCAAACTCACCGATCAGATCAACGAAGCTACGATTGCCCAACCTTCTGCTAGCTCCCCACCCCCTATCTATCTTGGGGTCCAGGATGGCATTCTAGTCCTCCATTAAGACTAAGTGTGACGAATCCACCAGGAATGGCCCCAACTAATGGAGAAAGGAGACATACTCTCTCTGATCATTGGGCGCATAAACCACAATGATCCAAAATGAACTATTGTTCACAGTAATATTAGCCACAATCAACTGACCCCCACTCCCGCATTGATATGGACATGGTCCACCTACGCACACAGAATGCATTTAACCATCAAGGAAACACCTTTGGTCAGCTGCTTCCAGTATGCTGAATAGAAGACAAAGTCACTAGACAGTACTCGAACATCAACATTGCAAACAAAGTGTCTCCTGGATCACATCCCACATCTACACCAAAGGACAAGAGATAATTTAAACTGGCTAACTTGATAGACATAATTCAAGTTTATATCTTTAGAGGTAGACTAGATGGAAATCTGCAGGAGTTGGGCCACCAACAGATTGTCCCAGACTGCCAGGCCAATATCGGATGTAATTCGACTGTTTGCGACAATCCTGCCAACATCCATTAGGAAGGTTAATTTCATTGCCTTATATAGAGAGAGGTGAAGAAGCACCATGACCCCCCCCCCACACCTCTGAGCACATTCATGACATCTTTTTCAGTTCTGGCAATCTCAATTACTTTAGGAAATGTGTCCTTCACCCCCCACCAGACATTTAGGTTTGCACCCATGTTTCTTATTAGGGTGACCAATCCAGGGGATAGGTCCGTCTCAAGGGCTTGCTTGTCAATTTGACAGATCTTCTACTCTCTGGAGAAATGTCTCTTCTTTTTTGCCTTGGAAGGGTTGTTATTCTTGATGATGCCAAGAAGCTGCTGTGTTGCCACATTGATCATTAGAATAGAAATTGTCTGGGTGGTAACTGTGTCTAGGGACTCGGGGATGGTCAAGAATTCATTTCCTTTGGCACATAACTTTCCTGGAGCACCACGTATTCCTCCAGGTTCTTTTTCATTGGCCTGCTAGCAGCCCATGCTGACATTCCAGTGGGTGCTGATGCCAACTGCTGTGGGGGAGACTCCACCATAATGAAAGGGGTTTCCTCACCAGCACAAATAACAAAAAAGTTCACAAGAAACACAAAGATATTCCACAAAGACAAAAAAAATAGTACAAGACTGGACAATATGTAGATGAAAATGGACTTGTCTATCAGGAAATGGAATATTCCAATAAAAGAAAAAAATCACTGTGTTAGGAGTGACTCTTGAATAGAGAATGACCAATCATGGTGGGAATGATTGCAGAACACTTGCCCCTCCCATTTTGTAGGCAAAAGCACACAAATGCATACAGGGATTTTTTTTCTTAGCCAATAATAGGCTGGTTTGCAGTTTGATATGACTCAGTCCCAATTTGCCTTGTCCAAACTTGCTTTTGCGTGTCAACCCCAATTCTTAGTTTGTGAACTTTTTGCCTTCTTACTGTTAATTTGCCTTGCATATATTGTTTTCTTACTTGCTTGATATTTTATTTTTGCCCAATTCCTTTTTATTGCAAACTTTGTTAATTCTGTTTGTTGGATAGTTCTGTTTTTATTTTTTAACATTTGATCATGGCTACTCACTTCAACCATGATGAATCAAGACAAGAAATATAAAATCTAATCATTTTGCAACTAACAATAAAACTGTCAAGTCTTATGCATGTAGATTCATCTTAATTGATCTTGGATACATAAAATATTCTGACATTTTTGTTGAATAGAATTTTAAAACTTTGTGCTATTAAACATGCTATAGTTGACCAAAAGATTTAAAAAAAAAAAAAATGAAGCTCTGATTAATAGTGAAAGTAAAATATGCGAAATATTTCAGTCTTAGTATGTTTCTAATCTTAGTGGTCAAACATGTGTTTTTGCTGGTGAGAAGTGAAGGTTGGATTTGTGACCCCATTTTGTTGTTTCTACATTGCCTGTTGGACTGTGATTTGGCTACAAGTGTTGTAGATGAGAGACAGAAGAAACCTATTGCAGGTGTTTATTGCTACTGTAAGTTTACAGTGATTTTTGTTTTTTACTACAACAAAAATTTTATTACAATTTTAATCATTGCTTTTTAAAACAATAAACATTGCTTAGGAATGAAAGTAGTTAAAGTAATAACAGTGTCAAGGAAAAAATAACATCCTTTTGACACATCATTTTTTTGGCAGGAACAAAGGTTAAGGATTGCCAAAGTTTGTTACTATTTGGTAACTTTATTCAATAACTGCTCATTGATTTTGAATTTTGTACAGAATGGAGAATAATAATTCATTAAATATTCTATGTACTACTATCAAATTTGTTGACTTATGATAATGCACTCACACTTCATGACTTTTAATATTTTATATTTATCATTTGAAAATTTCTTATCTTGTGCAGTTTCACATGTTATAAAAATCTACACCAAATTTAACTCCAGTCTCAACTTCTCAACAACCAGATTTATACACAAATAAGAATTGTAATCAAAATTTTGAATGTAAACTCAAGTAAAAATTATTTCTCCTGTATTTTTGTTTTGCAAAAAAGAGCATATAGTAAAAATAAAGAAAAGTTACTTACTCCCCAAGAAAGAATACAATTATCTTTTATAGTTACTTTAGACTTCAGTTCAGTGTTGCTACACAGGATGGATCTATGAATAATACAACTGTCAGAGATCTTAACATTATCCCATAAATATGCACCTGTGATTTCTACATTCTTCCCTGTAAAAGAGAGGAGAAAAATGATAATTAAAAAGAAATAATCAAATATTAGTTACTTTGATACAAATATGATAAAGACAAACAGAACAGATAACCTTAAAATGAAATAGTTTTATCTTTTTTCTGTTGGTGGGAGGTGGGTATTTTAAAATAAGCAATTGAACTGCTCAAATAAATTAAAAATGCATTTCTTCATTTTAATGCAACTCAAAGTGTGAATATGAGGAAATAGACGAAGCATAGGAGAGGGAGTAATAACTTGTTAAAGAAGTTTTTACTATTTTCAAGTGCAAATAAGGATTTCCATTATTCAACTGTAAAATAAAACAAGTACATATTCAGAATAATTGAAAACTTCTTTATCATAGAAATAAAATAATTTATATAAAATCCTAGCAAAACAAAAATATAACTGTAAGGATGTTTCATGTGCATAGTTTCTAAGGTCCTTCAGTTACTGCCACATATATTTTTTCTTTGTTATCTGCTGTTTTTACAATGGCTTGGTATATCTTTTTTAAAATCATTTCATTACAAGTAAGACAATAAAGCCACTAAGATGCAAAGGTTTACTGAGTGTTAGAGAATATGAGAAAAAAAAATCTCTACCGTTAAGGAATGAGAACAATAAAAGAACATGAATTAAGAAGACAGGACATTGCATTTAAATTTTTGAAGGTCAAAGTTGACTCAGGAGCAAGAAAAGAGTTCCATAAGTGAGAAGTGCGATAGATGAATTATATTGCTTTGCAGGAAAATTGCCATCTAAGGGAAAATCATGCAGGTACAGGTGGGATTGGTTTATGTAAATGATTTGAACATGACACAAATAATAATAGTGTCATGTTCTTGGTGCAATTGTAGCTGATTTTTACTGTGTTTTGGTTGAATATCATGTGGAGAGTGCTTGGTGGGAGAACTGTTTCTGGAGGAGTTTAATGAATATTTTTCCTATGTTTATTTTTATGTTTTTGTTGTATGGTACTGTTGGCTCTTTTTTTGCACTGTGTGTATGTGAGTGTCACTGAAAATCTAATATCTTTTTAAGCCATTACATATTTCTTATTTGGCTTCATTGAAGATAGTTTCATTAGAATTATTAGGTAACCTACAGTTAACTGATTGTGGGATCTGCTTGATTAATGTTGGCAGCTAGTTGGAAGATGTGTGTATTTAAAGAGGCTTGCCGTTGGGTTTTCTATATGATTGATATGTACATTTTCTTAGGTTGAGTATGACATTGAGGAAATCTACTTCTTTTAGGTCTGTTTTTAGGCTTATATCAAATTCTATATTTTTAAAAAAGTTTGTGTTTATTTTTCTGGTTTTGTCTGTTACAGGATTATGAAACCATTATATATATATATATATATATATAAGCAAGTGTAAATGGATATAAATCCGACAGAATGTAGAAATTTTGAAAAACAAACAAAAATCCATAAATGTAGTTAAAATTTCATTTTAACTACATTTATGGATTTTTTTTGTTTTTCAAAATTATATATATATATATATATATATATATATATATATATATATATATATATATATATATATATATATAGGAGAAAAAGACAATAGGAGAAAAGACACATATTAAAGGAATAGTAAGGAAAAAATATTTTATTTCTTTCAATAAAATTCTTGAATTAATCACAATGTTGAATAAGTTGGGTGTGCCAGGTTTTTGAGGACATGTCTATCAAGAGGTCTTAATTTATTATTTTATCTTTTCAGATGAATAATGTCAGACATCAAGTTGGATTGGCCAATGAAAAGGCACACTATAGTCATTGCTTAAGAAGTGCAACATAGTGATACAGAGACAGTCCACTTCTTGATCTTTTGTTATCAAAATTTGAAAGACACTTGAAACTGCTAATGGGGTCCAATAGCAGCAGCTAAATGCAAATTGTAGGCTAAGTTTCCTAATACAATCAGAACATCTAGCTTTGTATGAAAGGTGTAGAAAATAATCGATAAGAGGCCTGGAAAGACAGTCATTGCAAAGGACCTCAAGGTGTCAGAGTGGATTCATCCAAAGAGTTGTGAATGAAGACATCCAGTACAAGCTGTATGTGATGCAGATAGGTCAGTTTATGCCAGAAAAGACAAGAGAGAATTGTTTGATCAAACTAAAACATCAAAAGACTGGAATGCTTTGTTTTTTTTCTGATGAGAAAAACTTTGATCAAGACTAAAAGGTAAACCAAATGAACAACATATAGTGATGCAGAGATCTGACTGAGGTTCCAAGGACCATGCATACAAATTTCCCAGTAAGAACAATGGTTCTGGGATTTGTCAATGAGGGAGATGTCATGCCTCTTCTTTCCTCAAGGCTTAAGAATGAATGCTGAAGTGATGGAGAGGGCTGTGAAGCTTTGGATAGACAGCGTATGCAATGGAAGAATGTCTACCTTCCAAGAAGATTCTGTACCATTTCATAAGGCTAAGACAATTCTAGTATGGATGTAAGACAATTTCCATGATCATGTTCTCCTGAAAACATAGTCTCCTAGCTCACCAGATCATAATCCACTGGACTACAACACACAGGGCATAGTCAGGACAGAGGTCAATGTTTCCAACCCTGTACTGAAGCAGCCAATAATGATAATGGTGGGTTCACTTAATAGGTGTGATAAAAGGATTCTCAAGTTTATTTGTGCCAATTTATTTTCAAAGAAACCTTTTCTTTCATGGGCTATGCATCTTTTTACTAAATTCATGCAAATCTCCTCACAAGACTGAGGCACCCTGTAATTATAATATTAATGGTTATAAAGATAAACTCACCAATAATGCAGTTATTTCCAATCACAGAATCACTTATCACAGAACCACTATCAATATTTGTATTCTGACCAACAAATACATTTTTTAAGAGCTTGCAACCTCTGGGGAAAAAAAAAGTAAAAAAAAAAAAATTAGATTCAAATTAAACAATGTAAACCCACAAAGGTATTTTTCTTTTTGTTCAGCACTAAATGATAAATGAATCAATGAACATCATTTAAAATAAAAAAAGAAGATTCCTTACCTTTCTAAAACTACATTTTTAGCTTGGTAAACGTTGTTGCTACGATAAGAAACTGGATATATTTCTTTATTGCTAGTTAATGTTGGCATAAATAAATCTGGAACATAAGGGTATGACCACCTCCTCAAGATATCAAGACTGGAATCAAAACAAAAAAAAACGCAATCAATAATTTCAGTAATGAAAGACCAGGTAGAATAGAAATCTTTACTATCAAAATAAATAATGTTTTGATTATTTTACAGTTATTTTGAAAGGGGAAAAAGTTTTAATTAGAATAGAAATTCATTTTACTTTCAGAAGTCAAATGTTTATACAAGGCTTGCTGAAAATTTCTCAGTTGAACCAAGAACCTCTTAAGAAACTAAAGATGCATGTTCGGGAAAATAGGTTGAGGTGAGAACTTTTCAGCACCCCCTGTAACAACTTATTGAATTTCTTTTTTGTTTTAATGTATTCCTAAGCTATAAAGAAATTGAGAAGAATGGGTGCTAGTTTACAAAGTCTGACCAGAAAGCATGAGACCTATTTTTAATTTGTCAAGAAAAGGTTGCACAAACTTGATGTAACTTGACAACCAAGTAAAAGGTATTTTGCTCTACATGTGCCAACTGTTAATTGAGCTTTATTATATGAATGTCACATTCACAGCAAATATGCACCAAGTTTGGCTTGAAGTCTTCATCCATAGAATCTGATCAAATGATAAAGACTTTTGGAGAGGACTCAGCAAGCAGAGCCCAAGTAAAAATATTGGTACTTCAAACTTAGATGGGAATTTGTTGAGAAGAATCCATTTTCTAGAAGGCCTTCAATAAGCATGTTGGTTCCAATCTCTACAGGAGTGACTGCTAAGAACATCCCCTCCCCAAATTTACAGACAAATCCTATAGATGCATGCTGGGATTTCTTCCTAACCAATAAAAATGGACCAATCATCAGTCTCATCTGCCATATTTTTGTTCTTTCTTGTCTTGGAGTTAGGATGTGCTATAAACACTAGACTGTATCCCTTTTGCATGTGAACACAATTCTTTGTGAACTTTTTGCAATATTGCTGTTGCTTTGCCCAATTTTAACTTGCATATATATTGTTTGCTTAATATTGTCTTGCCCTGTCCTTTTTCATCCTTTTCTAATTGTTTATTGACAAACTTTGTCAATTCTGTTTGGTGAATTTTTTCAGTCACACTTAAGCATGGCCAATTACACTTGTGGAGTAATTGGCCATGCTTAAACTGAAAAATTCACCAAACTTATGGTTGGAATGTTTTAAATTGTTTTGATTAGAATTTTTATTGGCAGTAAAACAAACATTTTAACAAGTTTTGGTTTGGTTTGTTTTACGGCATATCAACCTCAATGGGTTATTTAATGCCGACAAATTTTTTATTTCTTTCAAAATAATCTATAGTTGGTAATATCTTTTTCTAAAAATGTATTGCTGGTAATAACTTTTTTTTCTGGTATGTATTAAAACCTATTTTTACACTTTCATAGTGTTTTGACCCCAGTCTGGGTGTCAACTATTTGCCCATAGCTGGAACCCTAACAGGTGCTACCACCCTGGGTCAGGGTGGACCTGGGAACACCAGCAATTAAGAGGTGGTTCTACGCTCCTCAAAGCCTCCTGATCAGAGGCCTTGCTGTTGGATGTAGTTTATCGCCTTACCCAGGATGCATTTTAACAAGTCATAAATTAAATATTTACATAATAATTTAATTAACTGTAAAATAAAATTTTTTTAAGAAATCAAGAATTAAATATTTTTGATGAGCATTATTGCTTCCAATTTCTTCTGGAATGACTGCTAAGAAATCTCCCCTCCCTAAATTCACAGACAAAACTTACAGATGCATGCCAGGATTGCTTCCTAACCAATAAAATAGACTAATTCTTGATGTCATCTGCCATATTTTTGTTATTTCTTAATTACACTTAACCATGGTCAATTATTCTACAAAGCAGAACACTCCCAATATGCCAAATGTTGGCTACAATTAAGGGAAATTGGTAATTGACAATGTGAGATTTAAAAGATCTTGGGATTCCACAGTATCTTCCCATCCCTACACATTCAGATTTCACTCCTAGCAACTTCTAGCTTTTCTCAAATCTAAAATGATCATTGAAAGGAAGAAAATTTCAGAGCCTAGATGAGATTATGGAGAATATAATGAGGATTTTGGTAACTGTTTGGAAAAGTGAAAAGGATGCTGGAATGTGTCCAAGGTTCAAAGGGAAATACTAGGATTGAGACTAAGGCACCATAAGTTGGTTATTTTTTTTTATTAATATAAAATACCTGAATACTTTCTGGATAGATCTTATACTTTTGCACATTAAATGGTATACAATTAAACAAAAAGATATGATCAAAGTAAAACACTTAACGCTTTCAAATTATAAGTATTTGTCATTATTTGGTCCCAAAATGAAATATCCTCTTCAAATATGTTCATCAACAGATAAGTCTACAAATGAATTCATTTTACATTGCTAATAAACCATTTTGCATTCAATTGTTTTATTGTTAATTAATCTACTTCCTATTTAACTAAAGTGACTCTTTTGTAGTCTTCTCAGTCAAAATAAGCCAAATCAAATTTAAATCTAACTGATAAAAAAGATTTTTGTAATAGTGTAAAATTAAACTAGAACTACTAATTGAAGTTTTGTTTCTTTGAGTGATCGGTTTAGTAATGAGTAATGTTATTTAATTGCCTTTTTTTTTCTTTCAAGGAAAAAAAAGAAAAAAATAAAGAAAGAGAAATTGGCTGCAAATTTGATACTTTCTTAATAATTTTCACTTGCTTCCTAGCTAGTTTACTATTTTGATAAAAAGAAGAAGCTGCCAGTGGAATATGAATTTTTATGCTTTTTTTTTTTTTTTTTTTTCTTGTACAAGTTCACTTGCTGGTCAAAAGGTAAGAGGCTTTTTTTTCTTTTTTAAAAAGAAAAAGCAGGAAAGAAATTCTTATATGGGGTGGAATAGCTTGGGATTTTCATTTCTATTAAACAAGAATTAATGAAACTTAAACTTTATTTAATTATTAGAAAGGTGTTCATGTACTCCCATTTAGTGTGTCACTTCAGTCTTAGTTTAACCAATCAGCAAGCCCTCCTAGTTATCAATTTCAGATAAGTCTACCAAAAGGACATTTTTCTTTCTAGCTGAAAAAAAACTTAATTTGCTGGAATGGGCTTGCTAAAGTAAAAGAAACTTTTATATCCTAATTAAAAACAAGTGTTGTCATCAATCATGTTCCTATTTCCATAGAATTCAAATTTCAAAAGATTTCAAAAGAAATTTCAGTATCCAAAAAATTGAAAATCTGTTAAGAATCTTACCTGACAGCACAATATAATTGAGGATTGATCACTCGACATGCATATCCTTCGTTAGGCACATGTAAATATATTGATTTACCCATTATCTAAGAAAAAAAAGAAAATGTAAAAAAAAACAAAAACTGATTAGCATAAAAAGCTTGTGTTAATTTTGAATTTAAAGATGAAGAAGAAATAAAGAGTAAAAAACTTACTTCTTCATTTAAGAGTACTCCTTTGATTAAATCATCTCTGGTTTGAAAGTCAAAATCATCAATGAACATTTGAGGTATTACAGGTGAACAGATGCAAAGATGACAGTCTAAAAGCCCAAAGAGAATGTTGACTTCAGTTTTTGCTACAGCCTGTTAAGAAAAAAATTGTTTACTATTTTTTTGTGTTGTTTTTATATTGTCACCATTCTTTTAATATTGCTTACAAAAGGGACATTTTTAAGTGACAGCACATAAATCACAAACACCCTAATTGTAAATGTGTCTATGTAATTATTTATTTTAAAAAAAATACCAGTGGAGAGTAATTTTGACCCAGATAATTTGTGTTCACTTTGCACTAATGCAAAATTGGAAAATTTGGAATAGGAATAAAAGATGTAAATGACATTTAAAAAAAACTTCTGATTAAAAAAGAATACATATACAACACTTATACTCTATATTATTTGAGTTTATTTACATTTACACTTCTGCAAATTGTTATAAAAGCTTAATAGGACTGATTCTTAGATTCTAAATTGTTTGAAAATAACAATTCTTTCACAATCAACATTCCTGGTTTGGTTTGGTTTGTCTTATGGCATATCAACACCTCGATGGGTTATTTAATGCTGACAAGATTCTTATTACTGGTAATATTTTTTTCCAAAAATGTATTGCTGGTAACATTTTTTTTTTTTCAAAAATGTATTGCTGGTATTAAAACCTATTTTTATAATTTCATAGTGTTTTGACACCTTGCAGGGGTTAACTATTTGCCCATAGCTGGGACCTTGACAGGTGCTACCACCCCGGGTCAGGATGGACCTGGGAACACCAGCAGTTAAGAGGTGGTTCCATGCTCTTCAAAAGCTCCTGATCAAAGACCTTGCTGTCAGATGTGGTTTATCATCTTACCCAGGACAGAACATACCTGGTTTAACTGAAGATTGCTAATGTTTTTTTGAACCAATTGATACATTCAAAGTATAGTGAGTTCATGTGATACATTTTAGGTATTTATAAACCTGGGCAAGACTGTGGACTTCTGGTAGTAAATAAAATATTTTGGAAGAAGTCAAGAGCAAATTGGCTTACAATAATAGCTTAGAAATGTGATCTGGGCAGAATATGGCCTCCACATACCATTGCCTAGGTCTGCACCCAGGAGAGGTCACTCCAGTCACACCACCAAAGGATTAAATTTTGACTAAACTGAGTGCCACCTTTAGCCGGCAAGTTAATCAGTTGCCTACTATATATAAAATAATATTTTTATTAGGTCAGAAAATGATGGGATAAAAGTAAATAAAACATTTATTTATTTTTTTTTAACCTTTAGCACTCTGCATTATTAATATTACTTCCCTTTCCATTGCATTATTTTTCAAGGTCTCTTAATTGCAATAACTTTATTGTTAATTTCACTCAAAGTTATTTTCTGTTACCATAGCAGGATACGACAACACAACTATGAAATTTAAACACACTATTGTTGAGGAATCAGTCACCTTCAGTGGCAGGATAAACTTTTTGTACTACAAATGAAGTTGCATACAGAGTGATAAAGGTGAAAAATTATTCAATATATAATTTATAAGTAGAAGCTAATAGAACAAATGGCAGTTTTAAGACAATGTATTAAAAAATGCAAATATTTTTACATACTTAAAAAGAACACTAAAAGACTACTTTTACATATGAACACAATTTGCATACAAGCCTTACATTGAATAAACTAACAACTTACACTTGGTATTTTAAATTCATGGCTAGATCTTTGGAAATGCCGGACACGGTTATTATCTCGAGAAACGACCACCAGATAATCATTGTCATAATGTCGACTGGGATGAGAAGGATTCACTTCTGTCATCACCATAGTAAGCACAGCAGATTTATCCTTTTGTCGATTTGCTCTACAAAAATGAATGATATCAATAAAAATCATTAAACAAAATTCATTTTCATAATGAACCTGTTGTGGAAATGTATGCAAATGATAAGATACAATTACCACTACCAAAAGAAAGTGTCTGTAGAAAATACTACTTTAAGCAAACATATTCAAAATATGTTAGACGTCAGGAATGGAATATCCTCCCCCTAATCTAAATTAACAAGTTTGGGAGATTATAAAGTACCTTGTATTTTGAGAATGTATTAGAAGCTTTAAATAAACACAGGAAATAAATGGAGAGGTTCAAAATAGCAAAGAGATTTCTTCAGAGAAATATGGAGAAAAACAGTCATGATTTGAGGAATAGATTCAATTTACAAGCTGTTGATTCCAATCTGATTAGGAATGACTGAAAAACTCTTGCCCCTCCTGATTTTATAGGCAGAAACACACAAATGCATGCTGGGATTTTTTCCTAGCCAATAGAATAGGTCAGTTCTCGGTTTCATCAAACTTAGTCCTGATCTGTTTTGTCTTGAAGTCAGAACGCTATGTTTGCTTGTCTGAACTTGCTCTTTTGTCAACTCCAATTTTTATTTTGTGACCTTTTTGCCATATTAGTGTTGCTTTGCCTTATTACTGTTAATACGCCTTGCATGTATTGTTTGCTTGCTTTATATTATTTTTTTACCCTGTTCTTTTCTTCTTGTTTATTGCAAACTTTGTCACTTCTATTTGTCAGACAGTTACTTATTTTGCATTTGACCATGGCTCTTTACTCCACACAAGCCAATAATGAATTTGCTTCTCATTGCTCACCTTATAAATTTTGCTTAAAGAAAACATTCTAGTTAATCAAAATTAAAATTTAATTTATCAACGTTGTTATAAACTTTATAACACAGACATTCTCAACATATACAGTTCATGGCTTTATTGTTCAACCATTACAATTCTAATAAGGAATAAATTTATCTGTTTAATTGCCTCATCTAAAGAAAAACAAGTTTGGCATGACTTTTTAAAATTATATTTTAGAAAAATTAAACTATTTTCAAAAATTTAATTTCTCTGACAAAACTTAAAATTTATTATCAGTTTTAAATTTTCTCAATTGACTGAATTTATCAAGAAAACAGCTATTAATGAACTCGTAAGGCTTACAAAGTGATAGACAACAATACTTACTTGTGAACTTCAATAAGTTCATCTAATTTCAAATTGGTAACTAGATCTCCAAATAACAAGAGAAAGTCACTTCTCAAGAGACTACGATTGTCAATGTCCCTCATTGCATCACCAAGAGAAAAACAACCTTTTAAAGTCAATACAATGAGGTTGAATGAAGCTTTCTTCTGCCAGAGTCTGAAACAGAAATGATAAACCACTGTGTTAAGCTGAAGACTCAAAGGAAAAACATAAGACACAAACATTTGCATATAAAATATAAAACTAACACAAACACAACTCCTACAATAGCACAGAGGTTAGCATTCTTGTCTTGTCAGATTGAGACATTCATATGGATCTTGTGCATGGTGTCAAGCCTGTTCAGAATTAGCTAAACTGTTGGTTGCATACAACTGCTTTCTCAAATTGATGGTTAAAAACAGCTTTGACCAAGTGAAGTGTGTTGGCCTCAGCAATGACAATCCTTCTTCAAACCTCAAGAACTAGCATGACAGAATCAAAAACAAAGACCTCTACTAGATAATAGAAGAAAGTACATCACTCGAGAACTTTCAACAGAAGCAACAATTAAAATGAATAACACATGTAATTCAAAGAGAAAATAATGACAATCAAGATGTTGACGTTCCACATTATTTGAACAAAAAGTTAGGAAGGAAACCCCCATCAATACTGGAAAGAGCAATAACAGTTACTGGACTTGAGGAACCTGTTTTCGTGAAATATAGTTTTAAGAGAAAGATTTTATCATTTCCAACCAACAGTAAGCTGTGTCTGCTCAGTTAACGAATGTCAAATGTTTCATTATAAAGAAACAACTAATATTACCATTGCCAGGTGAAACATTAATGTGGTCTTGTACCAAACCTGATACAATCAAATATGAGAGTAAGGATGTGAGAGATAACATTGAAACTAAAGTTTTGTGTAAATATACTACAATTCCAAAATTATAGTAGTAAAAGTGAACTGCAGTCATTAAAATATATTTAAAATAATGGCAACTTAGCTAGACTCTTGAATTTCAAATGCATGTGACAAAAGTGCTGTGTCCTAGTAGCAAGTATATCCTGAGAACACTTCATTCTTTGGATTTATGAAAGAAGTTTGAAGTAAATAAAGGGCTTTCTCATAAAATAAATATTCAACACATGAAGTTGCAGCAGCTGAAAAATTTCAACTTAATTTTCTTTCAATGTCTATACTTTATGTTAAAGTTTATTTTAATCCCTCCACATTATTCATAGTTATTACTCTATCTTCAACTGCTTTCTTTCTCAAAGCCTCTTAACTGAAGTAGCCCCATTGTTTCATAAAGTTGATATCATTTTCTGTTACCATGACATTGACAACACAACCATGAATTCAATACTTTATTATTCAGTAATAGTTCAACAGTTAAGAGTAAATTGAAGTGACAAAACAAACTTTTACTTAAAGTTACATAGTGATGGATAAAGGTTAAAAGACTAGTGATTGTGTCTGCTTAGAAAATTTATGCTTGTAAAATATTAACTGTGCTAAATTAATGAAAAATTATTTCTCGTGCTATGAACAGACATATTAAAATGTAAATATGATTTAAAAATATCAAGTAGTATTTCATACCATTTCCAGTAAAAATACAAAACCAGACTTTCAATTGCTGGCAATCACCAATTCTCTAAACCTGTCATTGAATTCTAAGTAATAAGCAATAAAAATTAATACTAAGGTCAATAATGCTTACACTATTTTACATTCTTTGGACTTAACCTCATCTTTGTTACCATATTCATGACATTTTGGGAATTGTACACTCTGGCCTTATTCATGTGATCGGAATTTTAAACTGAACCCTTCAGATTAGATTGTTTTAGTTCCGCATGCCATGCCTCTTCCAGATATCTCAGTATCAGTTATTTCCCTTTAACTCATAAGTTTTTGTTCACCTTTGCTGTAGCCAGGTATTGAACTCACAACTCTTTGGGTCAAGTCACTGGATCAGTTCAAACAACGCTTTTATCCACTGGGCTATGTGTCCTTGAGGAAATTCCAATCACTTAAAGGAGGCCTGAGTGTACAATGGGCACAACATTGTGAATATGGCAACAAAGATGAAGACAATAGTCCAAACAATGTAAATAATTACAATACCTCATCTCAGAAATATAGACAACCAGTAATGCTATTGATTTTTATTGCATATACAAAACTAATTCAGACTTTATTTGATTGATGGAGAGGAAGTACTCACTAAACTCTATGGTCTAACATATACAATAGTATGTTATTAAAATGTTTTAATTCCAGATAGATAAAGATTGCTATGTATCATAAAAAAAGAAATAACCCCAAAAGAGAAACAACATAAAATTATTGAATGTTGCAAATACAATGTTGGAAATTTTGAAATAGTTGAATAGAGATCATAAATCAAAATCAAAAGAAGAATTGAAATTTTGAATTTTAGCAAGAAAAAGACAAAGAAAACTGGCTTTAAGAATATTGTCAAAAGAAATTATAGAAAAATTGAAATGTTAATAATGAGCAAGAAAAGCAGATTGACCAACAAGAAAATATTTGAAGAAGTTTGTGTTGCAAATGTAAACAGAGAGAAAAATTGCAAAATGAACATTGGCTAAAGATATGAAAACAAAAAACCTTCAAGTAAACATCACAAAGAGAAATCTTTGAGTTGGATGAAAAAATACAGGACAAATGATTTCTCAACAGTAATTTCTAGTGGTGAATGTAGAGCTACATTAGATAGAGCTGATGATAATTTAGAAGTTAGGTTGTCCTTCATGAAAAATAGTCAACCAACTCAACTTACAAGACAACATCAACATCTCTTTGGCCTAAATCTTTTAGGAGATGGGTTAGTGTTTGGAATACCACACTATTGCCTACTTGTTTCAAAAGCTGCTAAATTAATGGAATGGCTCTCCAAATATCAATCCAACAGAAAATTTGGGGTCCATCATTAAAAGAGATACATATGAGAAGGGAAAACAATATTGAAGTAATAGAAAGTAATGTTAAAGTTGACAAAGCAGAAAAGTTAAAACCAATGAATGAAGGACTGATGAAGGTTATAAAATGTCAAGATGCCCATACTAATAAATAGATTAATAAAAAAATAATTATTCAGGTATATGGGATATTGGGTTAATCAAATATATCTTTCTTTGGCCAATATGTTTTGGATTGGTTTATAAATAAAAAAAGTGTTGTTCTTTGTTTGCATAGTAAAACTTGACACTCCAAGAACAAGTTATTCTTGATATTGTTTTTTTTTTTTAACTAAGGATATATTGCTCATATAGACTGAAAATTTTACCAACAGTTGGTTAATTAATTAAGATCTTAAAAAAATCTGAAATAGCATATTAAAAAACACACCAATATACATTATTGTATACAATATACACCAACTTTTATATATATATATATAAAAGAATTATTTAAACAAAAAAGGAAATGTGAACTTACTCAAGGTGTTTTTCAATATCTTTAGCATGATAGCTGCAAAAAACTATCACTTCATCAAAGTCAGCATTTTCCAGGGCTTCCAATGTATAATCCAACATAGGAATACTTACAAGTGGTAAAATCACCTATGGATTAGAAATTATCACCAATGATAAAGTTTTGTAATGGGTTTCTTTGTACAGAAAAAGGTTGTTTAGAATGTGATCCCATACTAAACAACCTTTTGGGAGAAGGAAGATTTGAAAGAAACCTGGTGTGTCAAAATCAAAAATGATTAACAGTAATAAATGGTAACAATTTTTGGTACCGTGATTTTTACTGGAATTACTTTTTAATTTAAATATAAAATTTAAATTTTCTTGTTTTTAAAAACATTAAAATAAATTTGGGTTTTATAAAGGATATAATATAGATTGCAGAGAGGTAATTATTTGATCATTAACAGCAAGACATTCAGTTGTAATCTTTTTTAACCATTCATTCAATGCAGTGCTGTGATTTCTTTCTTGGTGCACCCATCAATAGCTTTGGCCTGTTGTTCAGAAATAATTTATCTCCATTTTTATAAGTTTTTGTAATATTGAGAGAAAGGTTTTTCAATGAAAAGTCATTTGAATAAAAATCATGTTATACAATTTTCCTGCCCTAGAATGGAATTGTACATGTAATCCCATTTAAGATAAAGTAATTAGATTTGTAAACTGTACACAATATTTTTCACAGGAACCTCATGCTTGAAATGTAGTAGTGAAGACAGTCATTAGTCTACAAGTAGCCATAAGAATTGTTGTAATGAAAAGAAGTCATTTGTGTACCTACTTTAACAGCTTCCAGTCAAAACCAACTGTGAATTTAGCTGTTCTCAGTTATTTGAAGAAATTACTAATGTTCATATTAAGGTTACAGAAATTAGCAATTATGAAACAAAATGATTTCTCACGATTTAATTTGAAACAAAAATATAACTTACAACTTATTTGTCTGTCTTTAAGCAGCTGACAAATCCCTCACAAAAAAAATTAATTAGCAAAATTGGAATAATATAGAAACTACTTTTAGAGGGTGATTAAATGCTGACAGGGATTGTGCAAGCACTAAAATATGCTAAATTCCAATGTCTGGGCACCAGAAAGGGTTACAGAAAAGATCTCAACTTGACACACTTCTGGAAATCTGACCAAATGTTTAGAATCTTTTTGGAAGAACTTCCTTTTCAACAGCCTGTCATAAATGTGTTCAATTTCAATATTAGCTATGAAAATACATTTTTATTTCAACATTAAAAGCTGACAGAGGCTATCTAGTCACTAGAAGATATTAAATTCCAGTCCCCAGACAGCTTTGTTAGCTTTTAATGTTAAAATAAAAAAAATTATAGTCAGATATTGAAATTTAATAAATTAATGTATTTAAAAGTTAAAATTTAGCATGCATCTTTCACTGCCTGGACAGATGTAACAGGGTGTGGAGAAGAGACTTGTACTTGTGGTTTGTTGTTATTTGTTCCCTGTGCTGTTCATTCTTTGATAAACTAATTATGTTACTGATGACATCTTAATTAATAAAGTAGAGAGGTGGTAGGGACTTGTTGTCACTTATTCCCAATGAATGATGATACATCCTCATTAGCTATTTTAATATCCAGGTAGATGATAACCATGGAACCCTGATTGCTTGTTTGACTGATTTATTCATTTTTTATGACTTATCAACCCTTTGCATGTTAGTTAAAACCAGAAAATACCTTAAGATTGTAAGAATTTGGGGGGGGGATAGTGATACAAGTCTTTCTAATTAACCCATAGCTGAGTGAGGAGGTGAATTTATACCTTTCCCAAGGGTATTTGCATGTAACTGAATATAACAAACTCAGTGGGAATTGGACCTTGGCTCTATGATTAACAATTCCAAGCAATTATCCATTACATCACCTGCCCATCAAAGCTTGGTATTTGCAAGTGGTCACTCATCAAGGTACTGACAAGCTTCAATGTTGCTTAATTTTGGTGACCATTCAGGAACTGGTGTTTCCACATGATGTGGCCATAAACCTATCACATTTCCAGACAAAATAAACAGAATAATTCTTTTTATATATGAAAAAAATGTTTTTAATCTTAAAAATACTTATGATTGAAAGAGAGACGTGTATAAAATTTGACAGCTAATCTGAATACACATGAAAAGTCTGGTTAAAAGTACTCAAGCACTTCTACTCCATACCACCCAACAGGCAATTCACAAGTTGAACGGTATAATGGACTTATTTTGGAGAAATATTCGCCTGGTTTGAAAAACATACAATAAAGACCTAAACTTTGGGAAATAGTCCTACCAAATGCTCTCCATTCTCCTTGGTCCCTACTGTCAACATCTACCAATACTACACCACATGAAAGGTTCTTCAATTTTCCTCAGCTATCTTCAGTTGGCTCATCTTTACCATCATGACTTGTTCCCAGACCTGTACTCCTGAGGAACTTTGCCTGTTTAAGTAAAATGATAATTTTGACAATAGGGTGGAATTGCTTGACATAAATCCTGTATAATATGCAAATGTAAGGTACCCTGATGGACAAGAGTCCACAGTATCTCTTCAAGACCTGGCACCTTGTTCATCCACTGAATTGAACGGGAGAATAAGTATCCCGAATATCCAACATAGTCCTGAGAATTCAGGCGGTCCCGATGTACTCACTTCAACAATGCCCCAGCATGATAATTCAAGGTCTGTCTTTATGATAGTATACCAGCCTCTAATCAATTTCAGGTTAGTCCCAAAGGTGGTAATGTTCTATGAAAGTCTTCAAGAACACAAAAGGTACCAAGAAAGTATGAAGATTTTGTTATACGAGTAAAGCATTCTCCTTCCTGCAGGAGGGTAGAGCATTATGAAATGAACTCTTCTTTTGTGCTTTGTATGTAAATTTATTGTATGCAAAGGAATATACATTTTCTTTTATAAATTCTGCTGTATTTTGGGGAGGGGGTTATGTGGAGAGACACCGATTGTGCCATTTGGCTCAGTTTCTTTTCTTGAATAAAAGCCTTTCTTAAGGTTAAAGTTATTGCTGCCTTGTCTTCTTGCTGTTTTTGAATTACTTTTAAATTCATAACACCTTCCATAATAGTATTTGTGCATAAGTGAATATAATGAACCCAACTGGAATTGGAACATAGCTCTCTGATTTCTAATTCCAAGCATTACACCACCCACACATCTAAGCTTACAGCACCTGATATTTCCAAGCAGTCACGCATCTAGGTACCGACCAGGCTTGATATTGTTTAACTTCAGTGATTGCATGAGAACCAGTGTTTCAACATGATATAGCCATAAGCCTTGTAGTATAGAATGCACACACATATATAATAAACTGTATCCTATGGATATCTTTAAAGATCCTCAAACTTGAATTCTGATAAATCTTATACAAGTATTCTATTTATATTCATAAAAAAAAAAAAAAAAAAGAGAGAATCCAATGCCACCTATCTAAACAAACTCCAAAAAGGCTATTACTAATGAGGAACAACTCGCACTTAACATTCAGAGACATGAATATATATTGATAGCTTTTCTCATTTTTCTTTTCTTTGTGTCCATACAAATCTAAAATTGCAGGATACAATTAAATTGTTCTTTAAGGAGAATTTGTATATGTATGCATTGAAACTACTTTGAGGCTTACTGTATGCTGAAGTGTTTTGAAAGATGACATATTTTTCTTTTCGTAAGTTCATCAGCAATTTAATTGGCTAGTCATAGCATATCTTGTATTTCATCTCTGGTTATCATTTCTCAATGTAGGAACATTTCAATTCTTAATCCTTTATCAACTGAGTGTTGGAATTTGCTGAGTCATATAAACATGAATTTTCTGATTTAAAATGACAAGAAAGTTAGAAGCATTAATGCACAGTGATTCACAAACTATTCATAAAAAAAATTAACTGCAAAATCAACCATGTTCCTGCATGTTGCATTTCGGGTGGTCTCTGGTTTCATTTATTCAAACCCCAATATTATGCTATAATTATTATGTTTATTTGTTTTACATCGATGAGGGACAATTTATTTTATTTCAAAACCCTCCCCAAAGAAACTTACCTGGATATGTGCCCATTATATATTCATTATGAATAATAATAATAATAGAGTATTTCAGAAAATAGTGTCCTTTCAGGGAGTAATCAAACCAATTTTTCAAATTTTTTAACTGCTATTAGGAAGAATTAAGTTGTTATTTAGAAATTCAGCTCCAAATAATATCTCTCCCAAAGGTGGGGAATAGGGTTAATCCCTGGTACTATGGTGTCCTGAAAGAGTTGAACAATTTTTTACTCTGATATCATACATGCGTGAGAATCTAACTATAAACTCGGGCTTGTGCAATGTCCCGCTTGAGTGTGCGTACAGATTACTAAGTCAGATATTTTGGATTTTAAAACAGCTTTATAGGAACAGGCTACTAGAAAGTTATCTCCCTTTCATGTGTGTGCGTGTAAGTAAAATAAATAAATCCACAAAGAATTTTCGATCATAGGTAGTGCAAAAATGGATGTGCATGTTGTGCAATGGTTAGTGGCTCGGAACGAGAAATCGGTGAGCCGAGTTCGAATACCGGTAGAGATCGTTATATTCACTTTCGCATAAATACTCTTGGGAAAAGTACGAATGCATCTTCTTGAATCTTCTTCAGTTTTAGTAGGGTAGACTGGACTCTCTAGCCGTGGTCGACAACCAATTATAGGAAAAAGACAACTCTGAATTCAAAACCGCATGTGTCCCTAGTGGAGCGTATACTTAAACTGCTCGGAATAGTTGCAGTATAAACCACATGTTGGAATTGTGGGTGTTGAAGAAAAAGAAAAAAGAAAAATGAACTTGAGCAGATGAACATGCTTTGGAAAAGAGTAGCCATGCTGAAGGTGAAAAATCACGGATTTTCACATACATGTACCTTCAAGTCAAAACAGTTCTGATGATGAATCACATGATACAAAAATTGTTAAATAAAGTAGTTTTGTAGTCTTAAGCTTTAAAAAATTAATTAATATTTGTTAATGAATGAATGAATATGATGAAGCAAAAAAGAAAAGAAAGTGATGTAATACAGTAAAAAAGTAATAGTTCATAAAATTTTCTAAGAAAAATCAGATTTCGACTTTTGTGTAAGCACTTTTTAGAGATCATGGCTAGAAAATTAATTAATTCTTTTGAGATTTATCATATGATTCAACTTATCTTTGAAGACGAGTTAAAACTGTTAAAAGAAATTTTCGTACAAACTTTTTCTATTTGCAATGTATATTTATGAAAATCGGTTTATTTTTAAACTCAGTTAAAAAAATTAAAAAAAAAAAGGAGTTGATTTTGTTTGAGCAGAAGTTCAATATTTCTGCAATAAACTGTTCAATATGCAATATTAATGAATGAAAGGAAAAATATGTCATAAGGAATACTCAAAATTAAAAAGATAATCTGCATGTTTGCTTAAAAAAAGTCATGGCATTTTCTTCTCAAACTTACTTTCACGTGGGAAGAAGAAACTATCACTCGGCGCTATGAATAAGTTCAAACTTAAATTTGAACTTATTGATGGCATAATTTATTTTCATGTAAAAATCTATACTTTTTTAAAATATTTACATAAAAAAATCACGATAAAAATGAAAAACTAGAACTAATTTAAAAAAAAAAAATCAATGACAATATTTTCTTGTTTTGTTTTACTTTTTTAACATACGGTGACATAAAAGTTAAAATATAACCAATTTTTTAAAACACTCTTTATTATGATGACGTAAGTTTTGACACAGAATAAAATAAAAAAGTGGAAAGTAACTCTATATTCACAACATGTGGCAAAAAAGCGAGAGTGGGGAAACCAACTAAGTGTAAAAATACAAAGAAAAAATAAGATAGGAGAAGTTTAAGTACCCGAGGTGCAGAACGTGTAATAGGGCTGAATCTAAAATCAAAGGAATCAGCCAAAACAACAGCTTGTAAGACATCCTCTTGTTTCAGATCACTGCCAGAACTTTTGTTTTTTGACATTTTCAATTTCTTAAAAGATTAAAAACTAGAAAAACAAACGATATGCGATGTTCAATTATTTTGGTACGGCAAAACAATCACGTGACAGTAAAGGGGAAGTAATCGCTACTTTGTAAATTAAAGGGAAGTAAATCAAAACTTTTATTCAAGATGCTTGGTTAAAAATTATAGCAAACTGAAAACAATATAATAATAATAGACAAGTAATCATACTAGTCTTAGCTTAATGGTTAAAGTAGAAGATTAAAGAACTTCTCACGTGGCTAGTAATACTTATTACAAAGTATTTACTACGATTAAAAGGGAAAATTTGATATTAGTATATTTGATATTAATTTTTGAATAATTATGATGAGTAATTTTCCACTTACATATATATATATTGTAGTGGTCCCCTTGGAGGGGGTGCGATATAAAATGACCTGTGTGCACAAATAAAGATTGTCACTATATTTAGCAAGCCATAGATGGAAAATTATCTAATGTAAATATTATATAACATTTGCCAAATTTTTCTTTCTGACATATTGAGAGAATTAACATGGCAATATACAATTTGACACATGAATTTAAAAAGCAGAGTGTTCTTGTGGTGCCAGCTGCCAGCTACAATGACTTAGATAATGAGATTCTTGAAAGTTGTCAGGTGAATAGAAGAAATAACAGGTGGCAACCATGTTGATGCATACAAATTCCTATTGTGTGGGATGGTTCTGAAAGTCATAAGCAACAAAGACCATGTCATAACAGCTCACTTCTTCCTGCAGGGTTTCAGGGTCAATGTCAACACCTACAATGAGGTGCTGGTTATAGTGGTCAAGCTTGGATTGTGGGCTCGGCCCATGGAAGGCTGTACCTATTACTCTTGTATCTCTCTGATTTGAATGGCCTAGACTACTACGGATTGTAGTTATGAGGAAGAGCAACCAATGGCTCTGCAATCCAAATGATGTTGCAGTCTACCATCATGATGGTCAACATGAAAGAGAACCATCTGAATTGAGCACACAGTTACTAATGAGTTCATATTAAAGCAGTCCTTAGAGTTGCAATTGCTTTTATTGAATAACCTGTTTTTTAAGATGAACATGTGTGCAAATGTGTTTGAAAATATACTGATTTTTTATTGAATATCTTTGTTCTGGGTTTTTTTCTATAATTTCTCACTGTATTTTTTTATATATATTTTCTATATTTTTTCCATTAAATATCTTTGCTTTTCTTCATAGTGTAATTTGTTACTTGGAACATGCTGTAAGTTATATATAAAAAGACTGCTTAAGTTTTACTTTTAGAATTTCTTTTTCTGTGAGAAGAAATATGTTTTTTGCTTTCATTGAGATTGATCTAAAAGTTTCCCTTTTATTTAAAACAAAAGGAAAAAATCATGATGCCTTAATTTAAACAAAGTACTTTCTTAGCTTTCTTTAACTTCATGTGACTTTTCATTGTGTATTTTATGATAAAAGGTTATTCCAGTTTTGATCACTGAATTCTTTCAGGAATTTTTGATACCTTGAATCCATTGCTAGGTCAACTGTCAAGAAAGTTGGTTCACTGTGTGATGTGGAGACAATTTTTCTCTCCAGAATATCTTTAAGTCTACCATTCGTCCATGCTTAGAATATTGCTGCCACATACTGCCCAGTGCCCCTGCTGTTTACCTTGAGCTCCTTGATAAAATCCAAAGAAGAATCAGCAATATTATTGGTCCTGATCTGGTGGCTTGTCTTCAGTCACTTTCCCACCACTGTAAGGTTGCCTCTCTTTGCCTTTTCTATAAATACTTTCATGGTAATTGTTTGGATGAGCTCTTCACTATGATACCTAGACTTTATGAATTTAAGCAACATACAAGACTGGCATTGAGATCTCATCAATTTACAGTTAAGCTGGGTAGATATCACCATAAGTTCTATGCTAACAGTTTCTTTTCTCATACTTCTTGCTTGTGGAATTCCCTCCCAGCTCTATACTTTCCAGTCAACTTTAATCTGCAAAAGTTTAAATGCAATGTCAATTGCTATCAACTGTCCTTCTGATTACTCTTTCCTCTTCCTGCTCATTATTAATGTTTCTGTGCCTAATTCTTCCAGTAACCCCTTGTGTCTTAGTGGCTTTACTGCCTTGCATGGGGGTGATACTGATTAAAAAAAATCTTCAAATTATTGCAACTGCCAAGGAATGTTGCATGGAGAAAAATAAGTAACAATCTAAGTGATGAAAGATCTGAAGAATACTGAAACAAAGAACACAGAAGCTGAAATGTTCATGTACTGTGTGTATTCTATGCTGAAATTGGTTGAAAAACTTGAACCTTGTTACTATCTCTCTTTTGATAGATAACTCAGCAGCCTATGCAAATTTATTTCTAACCAGTTGTAGACACCTTGAGTGTATATAAGATCCTTATTTTGAGATCCAGGCAGTCAGAATTTAGGATTTTGAGTCAGTCATTCATCTCCTGACTGGCTGTTCGGTTGGACTCTCTGCCTTCGGGCAGGGAAGAACCTGAATGAGGCTACGCCAAAGGGCAGAGTCTCTTTCGGGGAGGTAAACCGACTCTGAACCCATTTATACGGGTTCAATGGGCCTATTTTTGAGCCGAGCACATGGGCTCGGAGATCCCACATTAAATAACTGGCCTTGTGACACATGCTGCCCCAGTGTGGGGGGGGGGACTGAATATCGTCAGAATTTAGGATTTTGTTTTGATGTCCATGTGTAGTTTCTTTGTTGATTTTTTTTTTGTGACCTGCAGCTGTTGGCATTACAATTTTTGGCACCTGTGTATATTTTTGTGACACTGACAAATATGCTTCATGTAGAAGAATTTCACATCCTAGCTCCATGATTCTTTGCTGTGTTACATTTGCAACATGAGGACAGGTGTAATCATGCAGCATGACTATCAATTAACTTTTTTCTCCAGAAAAAAAAAAACACTCTTTTCACTACCATTTTTTTTCATTCACCTAAACCAGTTCTCCCCTGTATCAGTGGTGAATGCATCTCAGTACAGATGCAAAAGAGGCTCTAGGTCGCATGCAGACATGTCTGTCAAAGAAATTCACATCCAGGTATCTCTGTTAGCAGCAGAACATCTTGGCATATCCAGATACGGGCTCCTCTGCAATTTGTCCAGATCTGTTTTTTTGTCAACCATCTCATGTCAATAAATCACACCCATGAATAGTGTGTGTGTGTTGCACTTTGTTCAGTATAATTGAACCCTGTCCTTTTATTGACATGAGGCTGTTGACAAAGACCCAGATCTGGACAAATTACAGAGAGGCCCATATCTGAATATGCCAAGCTGTTCTGCTAATGGAGAAGCCTGTATGTGTCTATTTTTGACAGACATGTCTGCATGTGACTTGGGGCCCTCATTTTTTTCTCCTTACACTCTGTTTGTTGTGTAGATATATAATATATTTTTCTCTGCAAGGGGCATGTGTAAATATGTATATATAGTTTTATGTGTCTTAGTGGTATAAAAATCTCTCTGAAAACAAAGCATTCCTTTTCCTTTCAGCTATAGTGGGTCAGCCAATTTGTATTGGTTATAAATAGAAATAAAAACTGACCCTCTACAATTTTTACAATATCAAATGTAACAAAGACAACAACAAGAGAAATAATCAAGTAGAAGGTAAAGAAAGCAAACAAAACAAGACCGATAATATATGTATATACAAATATATATTAATAACAAGTTACAATACATGGAAACAGTACAAAGGACGAAGTGTGTGTGAATATTCTGTATGTGCGTGCGTGCATGTGTGAATATTGTGCTTAGCGTGTTTCCACGCTATCCCTTGTTAGCGACTACATTTTGAGGTTGATAGCTGAAAATCCTCTAGGAATAAGAGAGTTTACCTCAAGGTGTCAGTGCACAGGCCTGAAGGGAAAAAAGAGAAAGAGGCCAAGAGTCAGCGGCTATTTATAGCCAGGGAAGAGAGACCCCTGGTGAAAGGGTTAGCTGACTGAAGGAGGAGTTAACTCCGACACAGCCATTCCATCCCATCCATGAAATATGGTATTATTATATCATGGATATAATAATGCTCATAATGAGGGAAATATAAATGGGAAAATAAACCTTTCTTCCCTAGCTCTCTTATGTTATATCATTATGCAATAAGATAACTTAGGAAATGTTTGTGATAATGTAACTTGGATTCTATTTAGAGTGTGAATAAAGTTACATACATATCAGCTTCACGGTCACCTCAAAATAGAGCAAACTAGTCTTGTAGGGAATTATTATTGTAATGAATGTAATGAGTTTGATCAGGCATGTTAGAGCCTTTTGAATGTGTGGGTGGGGGCCTTGAAATCAAAATACACTTCGTTCACATTATTTTCGGGGCAAATAATTTTAAGAGACCCCACCCCATTGGTGAGTGGCTTGAGTTTGATCATTATTTGATGACCGTTGTTGCAGCTATATGTCGTTTGGAAGAAATCAATATTTGCGACTAATTTCTATTGGTCGGAGTTCGATTACCGGTAAAGAAAGAGTTATTTTTCAAATGTTGATTCACAAGACAGGTAATCTTCCCGTTTTGAAAAATTGGTATAATTTGGCTTTATGCCGAATTTAACCAAATATAGACATCTGAATGAATGGCTTCCATTTATTTTGTTTGAGTTAATAATCGGATAGCAACTCGATATTTTTAACTAAGTCTTACTAGCTAACTTAGAGTGATTCATATTTTATTAATCGCTTTTTTGTGTGTCTTGAAAATTTTTTTCTACGATTTGATTGTAAAATTAGAACAAATATTCATAATAATAATTTTTAGAACTGTTCAGTCACATAGGTTCAAATTGGTGACAACTGACAAAAAAAAAAAAAAAAAAAAAAGAAAAAAAAACTGAAGAAAAGAAATTGAACTTTAGAATAATTTTTAGTTTTTTTTAACTCAACCAACAAAAAAAACACACAACAGCTCATCGACGCAGAGAGGAAATGGGAGATCTAACTAAAT